ACCCATTTACCTACTCACGTAAGTTTTCGATCTGCTGGGTTGACAGGAGCTGGGGAGGAAGCAGGTGCTCACTCTGCTGCGCAAAAGCTGGGCTCGAACCACTGAAGTGTCGACCATTTCTGGCCGGCAACTTTCAGTGTCATTAAGCCGCTGCGCCACCCATATCAACTACTCTTATAATTAGTTATAGAGTTAGGTACATTGGATGTCCTGAAAAGGCTCAAAACCATTTGGTGTTGCTTCATACGGTGTCAGTCCATTGACCCATCTGACCCTGGACTATCTATTTTGAATGAGAAAAATGGTCAAAAACTGATGAATTCTTGCAAGTTTCCTAACCAAGATCTGCAAACTAAATGCAAAAATGTGTTTTTCTGCTAAGCTGTATTTTACCACCTAACAGCAAAGCTTCCCAAGAGATTAAATGTGTAGCTTGGTGATCTATGCTTCTTTTTAAATGCTGAAACAGCAGCATGTGCACGTACGTATGAGTTACTCTCTCCCTGTCCTCAAACTCTTTGATGCTGGAGGAATTCTGCCTCCTGAGGTTGCTATTTAGTGCTCCAATGGCTTGCTCCACTACTTCCACCTGAAGCTCAAACTGAAGCTTTTCAGCACATGAACATAAATTCTATCTCTGTTAATCTCTGCTCATCCCCTAATGTGCTGCGAAAGGCACATTAGCAGAGGTCGATCAACAATCTGGCACCCCAGATTACTAATTTCTGTGACTTGAGTTGGTGTTTCCCTTGGAGTCACAAGCAGGAAAGTAGGAGGCAGTCATTTTCTGCAGGGGTGCTCCACTTGTGGAGCATCCTATCATCAGATATAGGATCTGTGCTTTAATTTCTGAAATTTGGGAAACTGTTTAAAAAACTGTCTCTTCTAAAGTGGATTTGGAAAGGGTGGATAAAGCTGGTGGCACTATTAATATGGTAGGTAATTCCTGACTGATTAGAATGTAGAATCTACGTTATTCAGATATGGCTATTTCATTGATGTTTTGATATATGACAATTCATGTAATGTTGATGTTGCTGATGGTCTCACTGTAAGTCATTTAGATCTGTACCAACTGAAGTGGCATAAAAGCATCTGAAATTGATAAAGAGGATAAGCACAGGCCACTCTTTGTATATGTTGATCATATTCGTGAGGCTGCAGCACCATGCAATGGCCCATTTAGGAACCAAGCATACAACACACAAAGAGAAGAACTACTTGGGGGGACTTCATAGCCAATATGACCGGAGACAAAGGAAGATACAGTCTGGCATCTTTCGGCATTGTGTAGACAAGAGCTTGGGAGGTGCAACTTGTTACAAGGGGAAAAAATGCATTCCCTGCAGTGCTATTTCTACTTTTTTTGGGGGGGGGGGCATTTACTGCACAACCAGCCTAGAGATGCTACCTGGTGAATTCCTGAAGTTCCCAGGAAGCACAGTTGCTCAAGATTCCTGCAGCAAACAGCTTGAAGAAAACTGAGCCAGCAGTTCCAGGGGTTCCACGCCACAACTACTATAGGTGAAGCAAAAAACCCTGATGCATCATCTTCTGTTCATGACAGGTAGGAAACTGCAGTCAGTGTTTGTAACTGTGAGTTAAGATTGGGTCTGATTACAGAAGGCCCGATTAAAATTCCCACTAGACCACAGAGAATACAGTTGTCTTTTAGCATGCCGCTATAAATCACAAACTATTTCAGCACTGGGATAATGCCCACCTGACTTCCACGCTGGGTTGTTTGGCTCCCTTTACTAGCTTGATTAGATAAGAACTCAGATTCATCCATTCATATGTTCTATTCATATTTCTGCTGCATTTACTAAAATGCAGAATGTGTACAGCAAGTAGTGCGATCGATCGAGAGAGACCCTCTGGCAACTTCCATTGCAACCACAGGAAAAAATCCCCCTCGCCAGATATCCGGCACTGGGCCATTTACCCTGTGCGGAGTTACCTCCCGCGAGCCCCGCTGAAAGGAAGGCTTCGCGGGCGTCCAGACCTGCCCTGATGGCCGCAGACGGATTTGCCGACACCCCCCGCCCCCCCCCGCAAACACAGAGGCCCACAGACCGAGGCCGCCCGCGGGGAAAACGCCTGGAGAAAGAACACGGGCGACGGGGGAAGAGGTCCGAGGCGCGACGGCGGTCCGGAGCGGAGCCTTCGCAGCCCCCAAGAGATCCGCCGGGCACGACCCGGTCGGATCAACGCACGAGGCGGCCGCGCGAGCGGGGCTCCCGGGCATCCCGGGCCCAGAGGCCAGAGCCCCCCGGCAGCGCTGGCGGGGCCCCTTTCTCCT